TAATTCCTTAAGAGTAAAGGAAGATGGAGATAAAACTCCTACCTATGGTCTGAGTTCTTACCTAATTAATTACCATTCAGAAGGATTTCCCTGGATGACTTAAACCAAAATCTTCATTGTTCCAGTCTGTCATGTCACTGCATCAACAGCTGTCTTTTCAACTGTGCAGTATAATTTTTGACATAATTTATAGAAGCACACAGAATTCAATCAGCAGCTAAGCAGGGAAGCAATGTTAACAAATGCTATGAATGGGTATATGATTTGCATATTATTCAGCTCAGTTCATTTGTGGACGAGAGCAATCTATTCATTTCCCTCATTATTCAAAATAATCTAGAAATGGTTGAATACTCCTGCCAGCTACATTTTAAAAATCAGCAACAACAAAACAACCTTGATGACTAGTGAACTTGAGTGAAGGCTATTTCAAGCATTTATTCTTATTCCCTCAGCTTTGGGCTAGGACAAGGATGCTCAAAACCCTGCCATTTCCTTACTTTTAGCCTTGAATTTTTAGCCATCCCCTCCCCCCAAAAGAAAAAAAGAATAAAGAGAAGTAGGGCATTTCTAAGCAGACAGACAGGTTATCAGAAAAATAAACTCTCAATATAATGGCAAAACAGGAGGAAGTTAAAAGGAAAACGGTTGTGTCAACATGCTAATGCCAGGGCCTGTCATCCTCTGACGTGATAGTCTTCCATGGAAACACATGTTTAGAAAGAAGATACGAAGACTTTTGGGTGGAAAAAGGAAGAGCACTGGGGACTCTTGGCAAATCCAGGAGTCAATAAAGCAGGACATTGATGACTATAAACACTATGAATACTTAAAACTGATAGCGTAGCCAATGGCTCCCCTCCAAGAATTCCTCACTGAAAATAATGGCACAGAGGGGAAACGTGTGTCCGCTAAGAAGTGAGGAGCAGGTTTGAAGCCTCTTTGGTTAACAGGAATGCTTTGGGAGGCCACAGGAGTTGGCAGGGCTGGAGGGTGCCTAGCACCTTGGCACAAGCAAGCACCAGGCAGTCGCTCACACCTACATAAATATATAGTCCAAACGTGAGGGCTGGAAGGAAACAATACACATATACCGTATGTAATAATAAAGACAACTGTATCCTACCCCATCATCTTCATGTCCTAACAGCTAAAAAGCTCCAGTTATTCATCTTGTCACTTTATGACAGACTACGCCACCTTGCAGAAGCAGAAGCAGAATTGGGGATTGCTAAGAAACAAAGCCACACGTCCTGGGGCTAGGAGTGCCTTGACAACACTGACTGTAAAATTTCAAGTCCTCCAAGGATGGAGCTAGTCTGGGAGGATGGGTGCAGATGAACAACAGAGGGTGGCCCAGAAGACCACGCCAGGAACCCTGTATTCTCCCGGGTAGAGCTGAATGAGGTTGGGAACGCCTAACAGGCAGGCAGTTGCTATTGGCTTTTTAAAAAAGATGGGCAACATCTTTTCCATCCCAAGATCTCAAGCAAAGGCTAGCTGGTTATCAACATGTTTTTGAGAACCAAATTTCACCATCATTGTAACAAAATCCCCCAATCTAAAAGTGACCAACCCTGAAAAGATCGAGACTCTCAGGTGATTAAAAAGTTAAAATTCATCTTGAGGTCACAGGGGAGCAGAAGAAAGAGACCAGGGCAAAGGAAACAATGGTGGGAATTTTACACACAGTATGAAAATGCCTGGTCTTCACAGAGACACACTAATCAGGAATCAGACCATCCGTTATGTTACAAGAAAACCAATACCAACATTTCTCCCGTGGAGCACAGTGATAAGCACATTTTTGCATGAATGTGTTTGGGATAGAAGGGGGTAGGTAGGAGGGAGAGGAGGCAGGGAAGTGAATGTATTATGTACAAAGAGAAATGACAGAGACCACCCCCTTCTTTAGCTCTTTGCAGTTTCTTTCTCTTTGTTTTCCGCATCCTCGGGATATGCATGCCACGTCAGTCTCTCTTCATAAAACGCTATCACAATCTGTGGACATTTTACATTAGCTTCTTTTGCAAGAACCAGGTCTGCTTCATCTGTGTCTTTCCTGGGGAGAAAGAACAGGAAGGAGACTTAAGAGAAGAGGAAGTAAGACTGAGAGTCTGTCAAATATAGGTTCCTGTCATTTGCTGGATTTAATTAACTTGATTTCCTCTTCATCCTGATTTCAAAGTGAGAAGAACCCTACCAGTTCAACATTTTCTTTTAAAAATGTTTATTAAATTTATTGGGGTCTAATTTAATCTTTTCAAGGAGAAATTTAAATAAATTAATTAAATGATGGTAGTCCCCCTCTTACTTGTGGTTTCACTTTCTGCAGTTGGTTACCCAAGGTTAACAAATATGAAATGGAAAATTCCAGAAATAAATAACTCTCAAGTTTTAAATTGTGTGCCATTCTGAGTAGCATGATGAAATTTTGTGCCGGCCTGCCTGGGATTTGAAATCACCCCTTTGTCCAGGGTATCCAAGCTATACATACAGATATCCTGAGCCTGGCCAGTGTGGTTAAGTGATTGAGCAATGACCTATGAACCCCTGGTCACGGTTCCATTCACAGTCAGGCTGTATGCCCAGGTCTCGGGCTCAGTTCCCAGGTGGGAGGGAGGAAAGGGGATGTGTGCAGGAGGCAGCCAATCAATGATTCTCTTTTATCATCGTTTTCTTCTCCCTTTCTCTCTGAAATAGATAAAAATACCTTGAGAGAGAGAGTGAGCACATAAATTTGATTACAGTACACTCTTCTATTTTATGACTCGTTATTGTTGTTAACCTTTTACTGTGCCTAATTTATAAATCTAACTCTTTCATAGGTATGCATGTACAGAAAAAGAACATAGTACATATAGGGTTCCACACTATGAGCAGTTCTCAGGCATCCAGTGGGCCAGAAGGGGGGAAAGGTTGGGATGTATCCACCACAGATAAGGGAGGATGACTGTATTACTAAATATTGCATTGGTGAATACCATTTAACTACTACATCAGACAAAACAGAAATCTTCACAGCTAAAATTTAGTTGATTAGTAGATTTAATCAAAAGGCTAAAATTATATAAATTCTGTTGCCATAGTTTTTATTTGTATGTGTGAGCATGTGCTCGAACACACAATCAAGCCTACATTCACTCCTACTGATTATGCATAAAGTGATCAATCCAGTTTCTGGATCATCTAAGTGAAAGTGTCCTAAACCCTCCTCATCTGGTGTCCTTTTAAACATTCTTTATCTTTTTAGCCATAACTGTGGATTGGAATAATAAGAGAACAGAAATTTAAGTCAGCAACAGTATTTATGAAAGGGAGAGCATGAAAAATGTAAAATCTAGTACTAAAATGAAATGTAGGAATTAACTGCAAAGTTCAACTATGGAAGTTACACAGGGTCTGCTACAATATAACAAAAAATATAGCAATTCCTTAACCAAGATTCCAAATGAAGAAAAAAATATTTAAATCAAAATTCCACTGAGATGTGAGTAAAGAGAACTATGTCCTTATCTAGAAAACGGGAATGTTTATATCATAGAGGTAAGTATTATGAGTGAGAAGAGGAGGGGAAAACACGTGGCTTAGAGAAGATACTCAAATTTGGACTGTGGTGCAAAAGTTAATATGTGACTATAAGTCATAAGCAGCACATATAATACAGTGGAAAAGCAATCAACACAGCTTACTTCTGAAAGAGTATAGTGACTCTTGAAAAAATAGGCTTTTGGGTAATTAACCAGCAAAATTTTGATCAAATAGCTGGTTTTCAAAAAAAAAAAAAAAAAAAAAAAGCTGGTTTTCCTCAGTGGTGAGAACGTTGGCCCTCAGACTGAAAGGTCACGGGTTCAATTCTGGTCAAGGGCAGCTTGATCCCCAGCGCTGTTAGGAGGCAACCAATCAATAGGTCTCTCTCAAATGGATGTTTTTCTCTGTCTCTCTCCCTCCCTTCTAAAAACCAATGAAAAGAATATCCTCGGGTGAGGATTAAGAACCACCACAACAAAAAGGCCAAATTGCTGCTCAGAGAAGAGAAGAACCCAGGAACTTCATAGGGGGATCATCCCTGGCAGGCAAAGAAGGCCTCACCCCAGGACCAAATAAAATGTTACACCTTTTTTTTTTTTTACAGAGAGGAGAGGAGAGGGATAGAGAGTTAGAAACATCAATGAGAGAGAAACACTGACCAACTGCCTCCTGCAGGCCCCCCACTGGGGATGTACCCACAACCAAGGTATATCCCCTTGACCAGAATCGAGCCTGGGACCTTCAGTCCGCAGGCCGACGCTCTATCCACTGAGCCAAACTGGTTTCGGCTGTTACACCTTTTGATTATACAACATTTACGGTAATTGGCTTCCTCAGTGGCACCAGAGAACGAACCCTCTATTTAGAGAGCAAGCCTAAATCATAAGCTCAGCGCACTGGGATACAGGAGGTAGCGGGGGCCAGACCATAAAACACCCTGTCTTTTAGAAACCAAACTGAGGGGAAGTGACTACACTTTCCCCTAAGAGCCATTCCCTCCACCGGATGAAATAACTTGGGCTTTGGCCAGTATTATCCTTAATGCTTTTTGTTCAGATTATTTTTTTTTTAGACATTACTCAGTGGTCTTGGTCCTCAGTGATGGCAGAAAGCCCACTCGCTCCTATCCCATGGCCCCAGGCTCATGGTCTAACGGTAAATGATTCAGAACCGTGTAAAAAAACAGTGGTTAGGTCATGTTTATATGTTTCCTACCTCAAATCTACCCTTTCCTGGTACGTGGGCTAATATAATTTGGCTTAATACCAAAACTTAAGAATGTCTCGAATTCTTTAATTCATTCTAAACCATAATTCTCATTTAATACAGATAGTTGGTGTCAATGAAAGGTCCTTGACAATCAAAATGCTTGGTTGGGAAATACTCCATCTTCCCTCCCTGTCTTCCATACAAACTCAAGTTACTGGCAAAAGAAACCCCACAATAGAGTAATATCCAATCGCTCTCACCATTTCATTAGGAACATTAAATCGCCACAGGAATCTGTCGCCCCAATGATCTTTTCTGGTTCCAGTCCTCTCTCAAAGCCCCGAGCGATATCATTGCTTTGCTATAAATAGAAGATGAAGAAAAGTTACAGCTGGGAAAAAGTTAAAACCTGTTTCTCAGCTTAGCAAAGCACCACCTAATTTAATATCACCGGATACCATTTTTGTAATAAAAGTCTTAAAATTTAAGAAATTCAATACTGGGTCACCTAGTGACAGTGATGCCAAAAGATATTTTTGCAAGAAGATGCTGTTGTCCCTCCAGCATTCCCTCAAGAGCAGGAGTGACTCCTAAATCTCTTCATCTCCTCTAACCCAATCTCCTTAATGAAATCAATTGCTTCTGAAATGATAAACAAGTCCATGTTTACCCAAACTAAATCCTTTTTTGGATTATAAACTTCAAGTATACTACATCTCTCCATCTTTACTTTTTCAGACTTTTAGTTTACTTTAACAATGAGCCATACTTTTAATACTTCTTTTCACAAAGTCATCTGTATTTATGAAAGAACAGAGGTACGAATGATTAAAGGAAGTATCATAAAACAACAAATTTCTTTCAGAGTTCACACACTGCATTACCCATGCTCTGGGAGAAGAGGCCCTGGTCTGTGCCTATTTGCTCCTGATGTGGATGAGTCATTAGCAATAGCGTACAGAACTGGTCAGTGATTAAAAACAAGCAAACTGATTATTCTCTAGGAGAGTATTCAAATTTGGCCAGAATGCAATCTAGGTAAGGAGTACAGGGTCTGATTCAGTTCTGATGGCACTGGTGAGAACAAAATGGCAAAATGTTATGCAAAGTAGGTAATTTTTAATTTTGTTGTGTGTTTCAGAGACAAGAAGGGGTAGAGAGAGAAACATCAATCGGTTGCCTTCTGCATGCATTCCCAACTGGGATCAAACCCAAAACCTGGGTATGTGCCCTGACTGACACTTCTTGGTGTGCAAAATGATGTTCCAAACAACTAAGCCACACCGATAGGGCACAAAGCAGGCGATGTAAAAAACATTATTATGGAAGATGAAGACTGCACAAATGAACTCACATCTGATGTCTGATTTTCATAAAATCTCTTTGATCTGACATTCACCTCCCTTGCTCTCTTCTGAGACATACAAACATTCAGGGTCCAGGTGGTCCCCAAAGATACCAGAACCCACACTGGGAAGGAAATTCCATGCATGGATCAAGGGAGACGCTGACTCAAAAACATAGCCTTTTGGGGGAGCTTTTAAGGGGAGGAGGTTCCCAGATGTGCACACAGATGCTCACAGCTGGAATGCTGGCACATGAACTGAGTCATAAATCATAGCTGGCAGCTGAAAACAGTTTGCCATATAGGGAGGGGGGGAAGAAAAATGTTCAAGCTGCTGAATTGGTGACGAGGCGAGGAAAATGCAAAAAATCATCACACAGGCAGTAATCTTAAATCAGGCATAATGCCGACTAACAAATTTTTTCCGCATTAGTCTAAAGAAAGGCAACCCCCTCCTGTACCTTTAAAACTTACAATCACCTATCTTCCTAGCTGCCTAGATGACAGCCACCAGCATTGTTGAGAATGTTGTCAGGGCCCCAGATGGGCATTACAATATAAGGGATGAGTGGAGATTGTTTTCAAGGTCGGCAGCATCAGAACACGGCCTAGGAACAAAACTCTGCTGTGGCCAGTAGCTCTAAGCCAGATTGTTCCTTTTTAAAAGGAATGAAACCTTAGGTTGAGGATATAAACACTACATGTCACAAATGGCTAGTCAGAAGTCTTACGCTGTGTTGTTTTTTGGCTTCTTTACTCAGCTGGAGAATTAGTCAAATGACAAAAGCCAGAACACAAAGGATTAATTATAAAAAGGTATTTTAAGTATACACCTGAAATGTATATATTAATCAGTTACCCCAATAAATTTAAAGAACCAAATCTTAGCTCCTTAGAGAAGGAAAGGCATTCTCAAATTCTTCATCAGTTTATTATAATGGTATAGTTTAATTATAATGATATACACCTCACCAGAATAGAGCAGTTTTACAAATAAGGCAAAAATAAAATCAATGAGGGAAACAAGGAGACAGACACAAACCCAGAGTCCTTTTTCACTTGCAGCCTCCAATCTTTCACTCTTCTAACAATTCTTTTGGGAAAGCTCGTCTCCCATTTTCTCTCCTATAGAGACCAGATCCAACTCACAGAAATTGAATTTAACTGGTCTGGGGTACATTTTTGACTCTGGAGATTTTTAAAAGCATACTCCCCACACCCCCATGGTTGTAATGTACAGCCAGAGCTGAGAACTAATGCTCTACAAAGACAGGGATCCAAGTAGAATGAAGATAAATGGGGATGCTTATGACAGTGATGCTAGAAGATTCAGAAGCAGACTTATGCTTTTATTTTATTAAACTTTAGGGTATGATACATCCTTCACCACAAAACACTTCGCGACCTTGAAATAAAGGAAAGGAGTGGAAGCTTGAAGGGGAATATATATATATATATATATATATATATATATATATATATATATGTATGTATGTATATGTGTGTGCACTTATGGAAAAGCATAGATGAAAAAAAGAGGCAATAACACTGCTCATGCTGGTAACTTGAAATCTAAAGCAGCTGAATAAAACCAAAATTTTATAAACAGACTTTCCAAACTGAAAAATAAAAATATTTCAAAAAAGAGATGAAGCCCTGGACAGCGTGGCTCAATGGCTGGAGCATCATCTCATGCACCAAAAGGTCGTGGGCTCAGTTTCCGATTGGGGCACAAACCTATATTGCAGGTTTGATCCCCGGCCCGAGTCAAGGTGCAGCCAATTGATGTTTCTCTCTCATATTGATGTCTCTCTATCTCCCGCTCCCCCAACTTCTCTCTTTCTCTAAAAAAAAGAACATGTCCTTGAGTGAGCAAGGGTTAAAAATATATACATATGAAATTAATTTCTTATATAAAGTATATAAAGATAAGATAAAAAGAGAATATACATGTCAATGAACTATATACTTTAAAATGGTTAATTGTATATATGTGAATTTCATGTCAATGAAAAAAAAAGAAAGAATATAAAGGATTGAAAATAAGGGGCTATCTTTGGAACAAAAGAAAAAAGGAAGTGGTAAATGTTTTAAAGCCCTTTTCTATCCTTAAAATTCACCAAAAAGCCTTCCTCTCTAAGAGAGCTTAGCTTTCTTTGAGGAAGACAGAGAGTGGCTGACTGTTTTATAGGGATTTAATTCAATGTACATGTGTTAATTTCTCATTCAGCCAGGAGGGGGCGCTGTAGTTAATCAACATACTGGAAGCTCTTTTGTTCAACAATTTTACCTTGAAGGCCATCTTTAGAACAGAAATAAACAAAATAAGGCTTCTTTGGGGGGTGGGGGAGCACAGGGGTGCAGAAGAATAGTTTGTGGGAAAAGGGGGAAAGAAAACTTACCTCTCTCTTTTTTTTGGATTTGATATCATCAGTACTGTTTGTGAAACTGGATTTCCTCTTGTTAGTTTCTGACTTCTCCCTGGGTTTGTTATTTTCACCCTCCTTCATCTTCTTATACTTTTTCATAAACTCAGAAATTAGCTCAGGGCAATCCAAATTTTTCTCAGGTTCCCAAGTATTGTGCTCCCTGGGCAAGAAGAACAGAGAAAAGAATTAGGGGGCGGGGTTGGGGGAGAGGGGTGGGATCTAATGCCTTAGTTTAAAAAGGACAAGTAGACAAAAGGGAAAGAGACCTTAAAGGAACAAATTTAATCCTAGGAATCTATCCAAGAAAAATGAAAAAAATTATATGTTCACAAAAAAACTTATACACAATTATTTATAACAGCATTTTAATGGCCAAAAGTTAAAGACAATTAAAATGTCCAAGAACTGGTGAATAGATAAACAAAATCTGGTATATCTATACAATGGACTTCTATCCAACAGCAAAAAGGAACACAATACTAATTAATACACGCTACAACAGGGAAGAACAAAACATCAAAAATATTATCTAAATGAAAGAAACCAGATAGTGTCTGATTCCATTTGTATGAAATGTCTAGGAAAGACAACTTGAGAGACATTTGAAAGAAAGCAGATCAGTGGTTCCCTGATGCTGGTGTCTGGGTCTTGGGATTAACTAGATATGGGCTCAAGGAAATTTGGAGAGGTATTGAAAATTTTCTAAAATTGGTGTGGGGATGGTACACAACTCTATAAATTTGCTAAATATAAAATTCATGAATCATACATTTTCAATGAATGACTTTTACAGACTGTAAATGATACCTCAATAAAGGTGTTAAAAACTCAAATATTAACTCTGTAAGTAGCAAAATAATATGATTTCATACATGCAATCATCTATACAAATTCTGAGAGGACAATCTAATAAATCACACAGGACCCCCCCTTTAAATGTTACTTATATCTTGAAAGAAATGTCAACAAAATTATTGAAGGATTGGAAATCGTTATTCAGAAAAAAAGGCAGTTTCAATCTTTAGAATATAGACAAACCATAAGAAGACTCAGAAATAGGAATTGGAGTGCATTAATTCAATGGTCTGGATTCAAGTCTACTGTTACTAGTCAGTCAAAAATACATTATTATAGCCCTAGCTGGTTTGGTTCAGTGGATAGAGTGTTAGCCTGCGAACTGAAAGGTCCCAGGTTCGATTCCCATCAAAGGCACATGCCTGGGTTGTGGGCTCGATCCCCAGTCGGGGACTTGCAGGAGACAGCTGATCCATGATTCTCTCTCATCATGGATGTTTCTATCTCTCTCTCCCTCTTCCTTCCTCTCTGAAATCAATCGTTATATATATATATATATATATATATATATATATATATATATATATATATATATAATATTAATAAGCAAAATAAACAAACCCAAGCTGAAGAATTGGGTCTAATTAAACTTGGAGCAACGGAGTCTCATTGGGTTATATAGAAAAGACTAGTTTATATTAAGATATATCTGTAAATGTATCAGAGAAGCAGTTCCTACAATGCCTTCATTGACTTGGGAACATTTTTATTTTATGTACTACCCATTTTAGATATTCTATTGTTTTTTAAATAAGGCATTTTTAGGTAGGAATGGTTTGAACACATGACATAACTTGACTCAGGTAAGAAGCAGAATGATGAAAAAAATCTGAGATATTTCTCTAGACTTAAAACAACTTTTTGCAGTGATGTGGCTCAGTAGTTGAGTGTCGACCTATGAACCAGGAGGTCATGTTTAAATTCTCAATCAGGGCAAATGCCTAGATTGTGGGCTTGATCTCCAGTGTGGGGTGTGTAGGAGGTAGCCAATCAATGATTCTTTCTCATCATTGATGTTTCTATCTCTCTCTCCTTCTCCCTTCTCTCTGAAATAAATTTTAAAAATATATTTTAAAAAAGACATTTGCAACAACTTTAACATGACACAGAAATATCTGTGGCTGCTATTAATGACAAAGTCATGAGTATTTCTAATTTTAAAAAAAACACAACAATGAGACAAAATTTACTTTTAAATCATTTAAGCTAAAACTAGAAAAGGCACTTGTTCATAGCTCCTTTTCATCCAAAAAAGATTCTGTACACAATGGCCTTCCCCATATCCATAGACCAGATAGTTTACTACCCCAGAAAATTAAGGTTCCAAAATCAAGAGGCATGCCAACACTTGATGTAGGGGTAGGAGAATCTCTGTTCGTGGCATGAAAGGCCAGTCTTGTAATGGGATTATCCCTTTTCTTATCATATTGATAATGCTGTTTCAACATCAAGCAAGGAAGAATCTGATCACTGCTTTGCAAGGAGTAGGCCTTTAGTTGTAGACGATGCTGAAGGGGCAAAATTAATAAAATCCTGGGCATTTCTGACAAAGGACAAATGCTTAATCTGTCTAACCCGAGTCTTGTCTTTTCCTTTTCTATCTTTCTTTAGAAATATGAGGGTATATTCTGGTTGTTATGTTACCTACCTGTATAGTGCTCTATGTGATAGAGATGCTAAGCATCCTATAATGCACAAACTATCTCGCTTAAAACAGTGCTCAAGATAAGAGACTTTGATTCATGTAATAACCTTATGTTCCAAAGGCTCCTGATTCACAGTTTTGTCCAAGGGTACGTGAAAACATTGAATCTTTTAGGATATTTAAGTCTTACACTTTAAAGCTGTGATGTTCAATATGGTAGCTACTAGTCACGTGACATAAAATGTAAAATATACATCAGATTTTGAAGACTTCATGAAAAAATAATGTAAAACATTTCAAATTAATTATTGTTGAAATAGCATTTTTATATTGTATTAAAATATATTATTAAAATTAATTTCACTTTTCTTTATGTGGCCACCAAAATATTTAAAATTATTCATGTGGCTTGTATTATATTTCTACTGGATAACACCTCCTAAGGAGCCTAAACCATTTCCTATCAGTTCACTGGAGTTCTGAGAAATCTATTCTTTGTTATCAGGCATCTGAGAAAAGAATTAACCAGCAATTGAGGCAAAATGCCTAATGATTACATAGCTTCACACATTTCACCTTTCATGCTTCAATATATTTAGTTCTATTTATTCCAAAGAAAAGAATAACTTACTTTAGTACTTCAGCATAAAACCAGTTATTGCCTCACAGGCATTCTGGCTATCACTTTAGTATCATCCTTAAAGCTGACTTAGACAGGTTTCTAACTGGGTATTTTTCTTTTTTAAAATATATTTTTATTGATTTCAGAGAGGAAGGGAAAGGGAGAGATAGAAACATCAATGATGAGAAGAACTATCAATAGGCTGCCTCTGTGCAACCTGGGCATGTGCCCCAAACCATGACCTTCTGCTTCACAGGTTGGCACTCAACCACTGAGCCATGCCAGCCGGGCATATGGGCATTTTTAAAAAGTAGAATGATAGGTAAAGCAATAGATGGATAAGTTACATTAAAATGTTTATTGCAGTTGCCCTGACTGGTTTGGCTCAGAGCGTTGGCCTGTGGATTCCCAGTGGGGGCGTGCAGGAGGCAACCGATCAATGATTCTCTCTCATCATTGATGTTTCTATCTCTCTCTCCCTCTCACTTCCTCTCTGAAATAAAAATAAAAAAAAATAAAAAAAATTTTAACTATAAAAAATGTTAATTATAGAAACTAGATGTTATGTATCTGAGTGTTCACTCAATTTCTTTGAACTCACTGTACATCTGAAATTTTCAAAAATAAATACTTGAGGATGGGGGTGTGGTGAGGGGCCAACACCTGGGACTGTGGCCTCATATATGACAGCATCATCCCAATACGCCAAGGTTATAGGTGTAATCCCCAGTTAGGGCACATACAAAAGTCAATCAATGAATGCATAAATAAAAAGAATAACAAATCGGTGCCCCCTTTCTCTCTCTAAAATCAATTCTTTTAAAAATCAAGTAACAGAACTGGAAGGAACATCAAAAAAAAAAGATAAAAATAAAAAAGAAAGATAAGTGCTTCATCCTAGAACAGTTCTGAGATCCAGGGGTCATTTTGGAAAGCTCTGGGCTGTAGGATCCATGATGATGACTATTTCTTTAACATACGTGTTTTAGCTGAGTTATATCCAAAAGAATAGTAACAGCAACAGTTTCTACTTACACTGAGCTTATGTATCAGGCTCTGTATATCTACCCAACATCTCTATTACAAGTATTATTCCTTATCCCTATTTTACTGCGAAGAAAAAAAAAAAATTAAGGAACTTAACCAAGGTCACCCAGCTCATATCATTGTAAGGGGTGGCATAAGGATATGAACCGAGGCATTCTGGCTCCTATGACTACGTTCCTAACCAATTCACTATCCTGCCTCTCAGAGGCATTATCATTAGAACACCAGCTCCAAAGAAGGGGAAGACTTTATTTAGCTTATTGCTGCGTCTTCTGACTCTTAGGAAGGAGTGCAGGGGGGATGGGGAAAGAAAAAGACAAAGTGGTGGTGGTTCACGGGGAAATAAACCAAAGGTGTCTATCTCTGCAGAGTCCTATAGCCTGAGAGAAGGCACTTACTCAGAAAAGCCTTTCCACTTGAGTAGATATTCCACTTGCCCCTTAACCACACGCCTATCTAGCACCTTCTCCACGACGTACTCCTCCTCATCCTCTGAAGAAGAACTGTCAGCTGTTCGCTTGGTTTTCTTTCCCATGTCGCACGCTGTTCCACCTGAAGGACTAAGGCCACTAGGTTCCTGCAAAGGGGAAGGACATAATGGTCAGAATCCATGTGAGGAGGTAAGATTGTCTCTTCTTTTTAAAATCCTCATTTGAGGATATGTTTATTGATTTTAGTGAGGGGATAGGGATGAGAGAGAGAAAGAAACATCAGCTAGTTGCCAGGCCACTGTGGCTCAGTTGTTGAGCATCGACCCATGAACCGAGAGGTCACGGTTCAATTCTTCATTAGGACACATGTCCGGGGTTGCAGGCTCGATCCCCAGTAGGGGGACTGCAGAATCAATGATTCTCTCTCTTCATTAATGTTTCTATCTCACTCTTATTCTCCCTTCCTCTCTCTGAAATCCAAATATATATAACTAAAAATTATATAGTTATCAATAATCCTTATACTTGAGAAAAGGACCAAGACAAAGAAAAAATACTTAGAAACCAAAACATCAACATTCGATTGTTTCCTATACCCTCCCCAGGGATCAAACCACAACTTAGGTATGTGCCCTGACAAGGAATCGAGCCTGAAATATTTTTGGTGCATAGGACAATGCTCCAACCTACTGAGCCACCCAGCCAGGTTTCTCATCCTTTAAAAACCGGCCCTATCCTCAGGGAGGCCCTCCTACATGGAGAGAGAAGTGCTGTGCCTTACGCTAGACTCCCATTACGACTGAGCACAGGGGAGCAGAGAAAGCAAAGGCCGGGACAAGTTTCTGTCTCTTTCTGATGAGATACAAAGGTAATAACACAACTGCCTGTTACCCTTCTCTCGGGCCTTGAAGCATTCTACATATGAACCCTAAGAATTTAATAAAAAATGGGTCTAATCCCCGTTTTCCAAACCACAACTTTCTCTTCAACTAACAGGACCCAAAGTAGACGGTACAAGTGTCTAACTCTCTAATTTCAGATTCCAAAAGACAAGTAGTGTGGTATGCCTCTCCTGGCTACTTCGGTAATTGTTTACAAGCCAGAAACTAAAATAGAAAGGTGGAAAACCTGCAGTTAAAAGAATCATGATAGCTAGAACCTTTCCCTCCATAGTAAATAAGGTTCCTTATAAAAATGAAAAAAGAAAAGCCACCAATGTAACTTTCTGCTCTGAGCATCTTGACTGGTCAGGCTCTTGGCAGCACAGAGAAAGGCCTGCGCAGGCATCTCTCACCACATTTTCCGAGTCTCGGTACATTTCCCTTAAACAAATTGAGCATGTCTCTTCGGGCATCCATCAGCTCACAATAGCAAGACTGACATCTCAAACACACTATGCCTCCTTTTTCATTTTCATTCGGGGATGGGAGGGAGGCAGGGAGGAGAAAAAAATGTTTAGTCCTAGAAATCAAAATTAGTCATTGGGTTGCTCAGTAATTCTCAACGCTCAACTAATACAAATAGTTAAGGAGGTACCTCTCCTCTTGAGTTGGCTTCAGGCCAAAGAAAGAGGAGGAGGAAAGAGAAGTCTGGCCCCAGCCTCACATCAACATGAAGCCTCAAAACACAGAGGAACCATTCATTGGCCCACGGAGGGCTGAAGGCAACACAAATGGAAATTGAGTTAAGCTCAGAAATATGCACAGCCAGGGGGTACTCAGCAGAGAACCTCGTTTTTTTAAATTCCCACGTTGTTACCATAGTCATTTTTAAGAATACTTCTTTAACCATGCTAAATGGTGCCTACAGTCTGGATTATAAATTAGCAGGAATTGTTTTCTTAGCTGAACTCCATATTTATCTTTAAAGATTTTTTTCAGCAATCTCTATAAAAATATTTCCATCTTGACCAGACCATTCCCAGAATTAGGGAAGGTCACGACTAATCTCAGAATTTTGTTCAGGCCAAATAGCATAAAAAGTTGCATTTAATTTTACTTCAAATAGCAAAATCTAAGAAATTATTCCAAGAATAAATAGTTGGACACCATACCTTCAGAACTTGCTAGCAATAGGTCTGCCCACAAAACACACACACACACACACACACACACACACACACACACACACACACACACAAAAAAAAAAAACCTGTCTGTACCCATCACTGCCCTGTAATAAAACTAAGTTTTCATTGAAATAGTTTATTTGGAAGAGGAGGTGGACGGGAAAATGTAAGGATAGGGCTTCAAAATAATTTTTCAGCTTCAAGAAAAAAAAAAATCTGATTTGATTTATTTAAAATTAAAATAGCCTCCGACCTCACCAGAGACAGGAAATGTCATATTCCAGGGAGAGTACCCCACCCCACCCCCACTCACCTTGGAATTTCCGGGAGCTGAGCAGCAGTTCAGAGCGCTGGGGTTACAACCAGCCCGGGGTTGGATGCATGCAGTGAAGCATTGTGGCCATGGCCTCCCCAGCCTCACGAGGGAAAACAAGGATTTACATGTGTGTTCTTCAGTTTGAGGGAGAAAAGGGGGGAATCTCCCTTTGTAAATTCATGCAGAAGGGGCTCCCCAAAGGGAGCAGACGAAAGGGGGTTGGTTCTCTCCTTTACCTACCGGATCGCCCCACTTCTTTCTTTCCCTCTGGGCTACCAGGAGGGCCTCCCCTCCCAGATCTGGGGCTTGGCGGGCTGGCAGCTCCCCCGCCCCCACCCAGCTGCCTGGGCGCCACTGCGCAGCTGTCCCAGTCCGTTGCCATGGCAACTGGCAGCAGTACTAGACCAAGAGGGGGAGAGGCAAGCCGAAAAGTTGAAAGCCTTAACTTTCCTTTTCGGCGAAGGCCGGCCGGAGAAACTGGAAGGCGCCTACCTTGGCCTCAAGAGCTCAAGGGAACTGGTTCTTGGGTTTTAAATCCAAAAACTTGTGCGTATTCCTAAAAACACTGGGAATGAATCAATAGCATTTTCAGATCTAACAAGACTATAGCTCAACTGGAAGGGGGAAGGGAAAGGCCAGGTTCCTCTACAACAGAATCAGTGCAAACCACCCATCCCCTAATCCAGCCACCAGAAGCACTTCACAGGGGCCTCTCCTACCATCTGTCACCGCAGTTAATTAAAATCGCTTGGGGGGGCGGGGGGAGGATAACACAAAAATGGGAAGGAGCGGATTTGGGATACTATATAACTGTCCTTCTCTGAGAGATTACTAGATACAGAAACAGAACCCAGAGCCTTGAAACACTACCGAAGAACTTTTCAGCTGAAATTATAGATAGAAAAAATACTTAATCCTTAAATACTTTTAAAAAAGCGTAAGGGAGAGCAGTCCAACCCCAATCATTACTGTTAAAACCGCTTCTCATAATGTTCTTGTAATGTTATATAGCAAATTTAAAAATGATTACTACCCATCCAAAATATATATAACTAAAAATTATATAGTTATCAATAATCCTTATACTTGAGAAAAGGACCGAGACAAAGAAAAAATACTTAGAAACCTGCAGTCCCATAAATTTGCATTTCTCCTGGTCCTAAAGAACATTTTTAGAGAGCTCCAAAACCCTGCTCTGCTTTATAGATTCTTGTCTTTAGAGCCAGAAGTGGCTGCCGAAGGACAGTTATAAAGAAGGAACAATAAAACTTAAAAAAATCAACCTGAGGAAAAAGCAGAGAATGGTGACTATTTTGGTTATAAAACAGAAGAAATTATAGGGTATGACAGCAAAGCAGACAAGTTTTCAACTACAGATTTTCTCAACTTTGAATAAACCATCATCATATCAGAGTAAAAGTTGCCTTTTTTAACTTTTCCTAACTTTTTTTTTTAACTTCCGAGGCTAAGGGATGACAAGAAAAATAGTCCAAGATGTTCTAAATTAAAATTACAGAGTTAGAGAAAGAGAACGTTATAGCTGTGGACCCAGTCTGAGAAAAAACTTCTCACATTTCCTATGTATCCGTTGGAATTTAGTATTAGTTTCCAGGTGGCTATTTCTGTGATTATCCAAACGGGAAAAGCCAGGTGCGACAGAATCCCAGGAACCTTTGCATTTTATTTACACACGAAGTTTCCATCTACTGCCCACGCTCATCACAAGGAGACATTTTTTTTTCTTTTTTAAAAAATATATTTTATTGATTTTTTACAGAGAGGAGGAGAGAGGGATAGAGAGCTAGAAATGTCGATGAGAGAGAAACATTGACCAGCTGCCTCCTGCACACCCTCTACTGGGGATGTGCCTGCAACCAAGGTACATGCCCTTGACCGGAATCGAACCCGGGACCCTTCAGTCCACAGACTGATGCTCTACCACTGAGCCAAACCGGTTTCGGCTCAAGGAGACATTTCTTCCTTAAGGCCTCTACTGTGCCCAGCCCAGAACCAGTCCTGCTTCACCTTCTCCCATTTCCTTTGTCTACAGCTAAGGCAAACCCTTTCAAAACAATTACATCTTTCTCCTCCCTGATGTATAAAAACGCTTGCAAAACTCCAGGACAACAGACATGTTGTCTCTCCTATCTAGCCATGCTGCTGGTGGTTTAGACTCCATGCCAAGACCGGTCTTTTTTTTTTTTTTTTTTTTTTTTTTTTTTTTGCTAGCAAATAAACCCCTTAAAAAAAAAAAAAAGACTTGCTTTTTTGTTTAACTGGTATATGAAAATAAATGCCAAAGAATTATCAGTGTTCTGATTCTGTGATTAACTTGCCAAGTGTGATCTTGAGTAAATAAATTTTCAATCTAATCCCAGAATCACTAAAATGGGCCAAATAAATCCCACCGCCTACCTCCTAGGGAAAGAGTGAGTTTATGTTGAAACCAAAGAGCTGTTCCGTCCCCTAAAGAGAAGCTTTCGTAAAAGTATTATAGGGTCGAATGCAACAGCAGCAGGAAATATGACCTTCCAAATTCCTAAGCCATTAAACCATATCACATATGCAGTAACTCCTGCAGTTCAACATGTTAGACAGCAAGAAAGGAGAAACGGTGTCCCTGTTAATTAGGCAATGGTAAATTAATAAGCCTTCCGAGAATGGGCAGGTATGTTCTCTCTCAAGAATAAAATACCTATTCTTATGCTTTGAAACTCAGA